GGTGACGCACTGCCAAGATGGTGACGGCCGGCCACGCCCACTTTAGGCCTCAAAACCGCTCTTCAGAAACCTATGGGTGACGTCACGGACACTACGTCCATATTTTTTTACAGTCTATGGGTTATACGTACAACCGTGAACAGCACATGTTGTCCCTGAGCTCCGTAACGACATCTCTCATAAAGATTTGCGTCTTTAAATAGTAAAATAATTCTCCGAAAAACAGCTAGCCTCTTCGCTAACTAACACACAAAATACCATTGGAAAGCTACTTCCGCCGCCTCACCGGAAGTTTCACCCACTTTATTTTTTACAGGAGCGCCCCTCGGAAACTTGTGGATACTCTGGTGGATTTGTTCTATGGCAGGTCATAAAGGGTTAAGAGCTCAGGCAGGGAGGAAGATTATTGGACATTATGCTTAATATTTCTTTTGGTGTTTCATGAAAGAACAAAAACAATATGGGTTGGGAATGACATGAGGGCGAGTAACTGTTCCTTTAAAGGCGTATCTGGAGTGTTTGTCGACTGATTGCTGTGTATCTGCGGCTGATAGTGCTTGGAATTCACTTCCATTCATTTTCAAGAAAAGAATGTGTTGCCTCAAGTTAGGTTTTCCACACGATAAAGCTTTAACGCCTATCACTTTGACCTATGACGTACTACATGCCCTCCAGCTGTCTAGAAAACAGTGGGATGAAATGACCCTTTCTCGTTGTGAGCACTCTAAAGAGAATTTATGCATGTTTTCCATTCAACCCTCAGAATCTGCAGGGATCAGGTGATTATGGAGCAAGTGGAGATGGAGACAGACCACCATCAGTCCAGGTATTCACTTCATTTTGTTTGGTTTGTTTGGTAGCCAAGCTCACATTTGTAAAACTTGTTGTGACCGATTTAATGTCCACATTTAAAACATCTAATGACGATCCCGAGATTTCCGGACTTCTGACAGGTCTGTCGTTGTACACTTTCTCATCTTCTGGGGAAAAGCTATTATCTCCAGACCAATCCCAGATGTTAAAGCCCATCTTCCCATGCCTTGTGTTACTAATCCAGAAATAGAGCATGTGGAAATTGAAATGAACCCTTGCTACTGATGTGCGAGGCCCTGTCTGAGCATGCCAGAGCTAATTACAATGGAAGGAAACCAGGTGGCTCTTAGGTGTGGACTGCAAGGATTGTCTTTCATAAGTGCTTTTTGTTTGACTGGTTTATTCATCAGTGCTAATTGTGTCATGCAATTTGAGAACATTTAGGCCATATTTTGTGTGTCTGTGTTTGTTTGATTTGTATTAGTATATTGTACTTGGAGGTTGATGCTTCTTTCCTTTCACTTACAAGTATTTATATTTGTTTTTAACATTTTTTAAACAGCTGTTTCTTACCTTGTTATTTTAAATTACATGGCTTTTGTTTGCCTTACAGTATCCAATGCATTTTAACATGCTGTGACAGAAACAGAGACGGCATTTTCCGAAGTACTGTGAAGTAAATTTTCCTTTATTTTACCGTGGAATCCATTTTAAATGATGCCACATTCCCCCCTGGGACATTTTCCATGCTTGTTTCACCCTGCTTGGATGTTAGAAAGTGCATTTGAGGAGAGGGCACCTGGTGGACATGCCTTTTTGCAAACTGTGTTTGCATGACAGCCTCTTGTGGAGGCCTAATTTTGTGTAATCCAATTTCATGAGATTATTATATCTAGTGGAAGAGAAGTAGTCTTGTGAGAGTGGAAAACAGTTTGACTTCATTACACTTGTTCTATGAAAAAGAAAATTGAATTTTGGCATGTCTTATTTAGCGTGTCATATTTCTGAGACAATGCCGGATATTGCATTTACTTTTAGGAGATTGGTAAATGACTTCATTTAGTCATTACTAATTATAATGCAAATTATAATATATAAAATAAAAATTTGAAGGAAAACTTGATTCCAAGTGATGATCTTAATCACGATTAATCACATCCAAAATAAAATTTTGTGTTTACATTATATATGTGAGTGCACTGTGTATAATTATTTTATATATATAAATACACACACATGCTTGTATATATTTAAGAAATATTTTCATGTATATACTGTATATATATATATATATATATATATATAATTTATATTATATATAAATATAAGTATATTATATATAAATAATATTTTTTTCTAAATATACATACATGTATGTATTTATATATATATATATATATTTATATATATACAAAATAATTATACACAGTGCACCCACATATGCACTTATGTGATTAATCGCGATTAATCGTTTGACAGCCCTAATATATGTAATTAATTATCCATAATTATGCCAATTCTATGCCGTTAATATGATTTGTTTGATATTTTGTATTTTCACTTTCAATACACAAATTGATTCATTCAAATGTACCAAATTTGACATTAAAAACAATTTAATTTGACATTAAAAGTAAGGGTTTTCAAATATTATTTTACATGTTTAGAATATTTGTGTTTTTTTTTTTTTTTCCACAGTATAAATGGGTCTTTAGAATTTAAAATATCATCATATTTTGTGGAATCAAATAGTATGAAAACCTCCGATCTAGACTCCACTGAAGTATAGTTTACTGAAGTATTCCAGCCCCAGAAGAATCCAGTACATTCCAAGTGATGATCTAAATTGCTCTCGTGGAAGACCGTGATGCAAAAAACACATGCCAGCAAAGAATGGCCCCTTTTTTAATGCACAAGGAAATGTCCTTCTGTGCCGTATGATCTTTTCCATATCCTCAACTCCTCCAGCATAACTCAGTGTAATGTGTTCAAGGTCAGATTCTCTCGTCTCCGCAGCAGTGACCGTGATGGCAGATGTTTAGCAGCCCCTCCTCATCTAGCCGGACAGCCTCCTAACTGCCCACTCCTGACCTCTATCTTTAGACCCCAGGACCCGTGGCCTGCATTCCCCAAGACGGTCGTTCTCTCGGTCCAAAAATACATGCTGTCAGCATCCTCTCACACTGGCCATCAGAGCACTCTGTGTCCTCTCAGGCAAAGTCTCCTTTTTCTCAATCCCGGCGTGAAATCTGAGGATCAGAGTGTTCTAGAACCTGATGCCTGGTATTTCATCAGTGGGGTTCTGCCGTTTCAGCAGCGCGTGTTTTGTAAAGTGCAAGGTCAGGCCCTCTTTGTGTCTGCGCTTCAAACGGCCAGCCCTGGCAGCTTTTCTTCAAGGAGCTTTGTTAACTGTGAGCTGTATGTCTGAGTGTGACCGCTGTGTGTGAGTATACGAAAATCTGTGAAGTCACGGTTCTTTGCTTTGCCATATCAAGTGCCCTCTAGTGTTTTAAGATCATGGTTGTATTTGTCAAAGTGTTTGTACATAATCAGTGAAATAAAATTCAACTGTCGGAACAGGTATGAAAGGACAAATGTACTTATTCATTTTAAGAAACCAAGAAATTGGATTTTTATGGCATTTAGTCCCTTAACTTTAAGGAAACGTATACCCCTAAACATGTCCGTAAAACAAGAACTTCACCTGAGAAACAAATCTGCTTGACATATTAAAGGGGTAGTTCAGTTTGAAATACATTTTAGGCATGTTTTAGCTTACATCAAGGGCATCCAAGATGTAGGTGTCTTTGTTTCCGCAGTAGTTAAATTTTTTTTTTATTTTTAGGTCAAACCGTTCTTGTCTGTAAGTCATATAATGGAGGTCTATGGTCACCACCTCAAAGAGCATGCACAGAGAAGTCCAAATTAAACATGATTTAATGACTCGTAAATGTAAGTACACATTGATGGCCTAAGACACGAAACGAGCGGTTTGTGTGAGAAAACGAACAGTATTTATGTAGTTTTTACCTCTTGTAACCACAGCCACAAAGCACCCGCACCCTCAGATCACTTGGACGTGGTTACAAGAGATAAAACGATATAAATGCTGTTTGTTTTCCCACACAAACCGCTCGTTTCGTGTCTTAGGCCATCAATGTGTACTTACATTTACAAGTCATTAAATCATGTTTAATTTGGACTTCTCTGTGCATGCTCTTTGAGGTGGTGACCATAGACCTCTATTATATGGCTGATAGACACAAACGGTTTGACCTAAAAATATCAAAATTGAAAATACTGCGGAAACGAAGACACATACATCTTGGATGCCCTTGAGGTAAGCTAAAACATATCAAAAATGTATTTCTTTGTTTTGAAAAGTATTTTTTACTTTGTTTAAAAATTGAAGAATTTTAGGAGTCAGTAAAAGTGACAGTAAAGACAGTTTTAATTTGATGATTTACATGTGAAAAATTATTTTTGCTATTTATATTTGTCAAAGAATCCTGAAAAGAGTGCTAGTTTCCACACATCTGTTTTCAATGTGAAATAAATCAGCATATTAGCATGGTATCTGAATTCTGATCATGTGACTGGAGTACTGATGCTGAAAGTTCAGCTTTTCCCTCAGGAGTATAATAAAAACATAAAATTTTAAATTGTAAAAATATTTCACAATATTACTGTATTTGCTGTATTTTTGATCAAATAAATGCAGCCTTAGTGAGCATTTCTTTCTAAAACATTGACCCCAAACTTTTGAATGCTATTTTCTCTTTACTGTAAGAGTTTTTTGTCTTGTAACTGGCAGATTTTCCCACTTGTGTGCTTAAACAAAAATATGAAATCTGCCTGTGCCACAAGAAAAGAGATTTGAAAACCAGCTACAGTATAATATCTCATATTTACAACAGTTTTGCAAATGTGTCTTGTTTTAAGGATGCTTAGACTTTTTTTTACTTGTGAAAACAAGAAAAGGCGCTCTTTAAGGATGTGAATTTTTATCAATGTACATGTTGTTATTTCTGTACATTGCATTTCAGTGTTGATTGACCGTCTGATTTGCGGTTTATTTATGTTAATTGATATATTAATGATGCTTATCACTTTCAGCTGACACCTCCCTCCTCTCGGCCGATCCAGCAGCCACCGGTGACCAGCAGTGAGAAGCAGCAGACAGGTGAGCTTTGTTTGTCTGTGTTCAGTGTCAGTCTGAACTAGTCTGTCTATAAAACATCAGCTAGTCTGACAGCACAGCTCATCAGATGCATTTATTGCTCTCCTGAATTGTTAAATGGCTCTTTTTCTTCTTGTAAACGTTTTTGTGCTTTTTTGGTTAATTTACAACTTTCCTTTTGTTGATACAGTTATTTTGTTCATGAAAGAAAACATTTGGGCTGCATAGTTAGCGTACACATCTGAAAAGAACAGTATCCTCGGTTTCACAGACTATGCTTAAGTCTCAGACTAAAATGCGTGTTTGAGCTGTTTTAACTGAAAGCAATTTGCACTGAAATATCTTATGTTTATAACTCTCACATTTATAAAAGCTACTTGAATGTCCTAATTGCTCTAAGGCCTAATACTGGCTTAATCTAAGCCCTGTCTGTAAAACCAGGCCAAAGTGTTGCAGCCAGCAAGTTCAGTTTGTTAATCACAGATCTTACTCAAAGCACACTTTCCCCAGGTTCAAGCTAGTGTTTCTAGCAGGGTATTGAAGGCAAGCAGATTTAAAAATAAATTTGTGGTTTTAATTTTAGTATAATCATGAAATTGTGTGTTTATGCATGGAGCCACTTTTATTTTGCTTTGGCTCCCTCTATTGGTGTAAAGCAATGAGAAAATGTCTTTTTACATTTAATTGCAAACGTATTCTTAAGAGGTGTGTTATTCTGATGTTATAATGGATGGCCTAAACCCAAGGATGGATTATGGCTTACGCCAATGGGGCAATAATGCACGTTTGATGAGTAAAAATCTACATTTGGCATTGTTGACAACTGTAATTGTGACTTTTTAAGTTGTTATTTTACTTCTTATATTAGTAAAAATGTATATTAAGTATAAACGTCAAAAAATCTCACATTTATACAAAGTTAAATTTATGAAAAGCTGAAGTTGTAATTTTGAGATATAAACTCACAATTATGAGCGATACAGGTTTTATATCACAATTACAGAATGTCACATAATTCAATAATACAAAGTCACATAATAATAATGTTATTATTAATGTATTTTTTTTAAAATATATATATATATATATATATATATATTTAAAATAAGATTCCGGGGTTGTTTTTACTACCTGTGACATTGTGCGTGGGCAACAAGGGATGCTGGTTCCCAATGGCCTAGTATTCTGATTGACCATAATCCATTCTTTTACTTGCTTCAATAATGTACATGACTTTCAAAATGGTTTGCTATATGATCTTTCCTCATAATGAGCTGAATTGGGAAGTTTTAATGAACATTAGGATCAGCTGATTCCTCTCGACAAACTTCTGGCTCTTACGGCGGCTCTCGAAAAACATCTGGTTCATATGGGGATTCCCGAAAAACTCCGGTCTCCTATGGTGATTCTCGACAAACATCTGGCTCATATGGTGTTTCTGAACGAACTTCTGGTTCATATGGTGATTCCCAACGAAGCCCTGGCTCATATAGTGGTTCTCGACAATCATCTGGCACTGATGGTGGTTCTCAACAACCTCTTGACTCAGATTATGTTAGCAAGCAAACCTTGGGTTCGTATGAGGATTCTAGAAAAGCTTCAAACTCTGTTGACTACTCTCTAAGAACAACAGGCTCAGCTGATGATGGGATACGGTATTCTGTGGAGTCTTCTGCGGGTCCAACAGGTAATAAAAAGATGAAAATCTCTCAAATGGACATGGGACATTCTGGATAGAAATTCTCAGCAGAATTTCTACATGATGCTTTGCATGAAATACTGGCAAAAAGCTGTGGATGCCCAACAAGGACTGCAGCAAACCGGGTGCAAGTGATAGTGTTGCTGCATATGTATGTTGTTTATTGCACATATGTATGTTTGTTGTTTAATGCTAGCATAATTGTTATATGGCATTTGTATTGACAGATTGCTTATTCAGCTGCTTAGCTTCTGCTTGTTGGCATATTCTTGAATATGTGGAGTTTGGCACATCTTCCTTGGCTATTGTCATGTTTTATTTTTATTTTATACAACTAGATTATTTTTGGTTGAAAATTACAGAAACATGTCCAGGTCATGTTTCACAATAGATAAATTATATATTAAAAGACAAACGCCTTTTTAGGACTATTTAGATCTTCTACACTCTGACATTATTTTAATAATTATTAAGCACATTTCCCCCTAATTTCTTATTGTCATAATGTTTGTATGTATGATTTACTTGTACTGTCAGTTGTATTCCTGTTACTGTAATAGTTTATTTTTATATTTCAGCACACACCAAATACTAGCATGATGTATATGTATTTAACCATTTAAATGTGTAATTATTTTTTAGCATTATTTTGCATTTTGGTAATGAGAATTAACATGAAAACTTGTATATCACAGTTTATCTTAATGGTCTTAGAATTGGCTTTATTTTCTTAATGCAAAATATGATTTCTTACTTTTATTTTGTAGTAAGATTTAAGGGATAGCTCACCCAAAAATTCATCTTCGGAACACATTTGACATTTTTGATGAAATCTAAGAGCTTTTTGTCTCTCCATTGACAGCTACATATAAACATTGATTAGCGAACAGAAACAGAAGCTCAAACGTGCTGCGTAACACAATAATGAACCTCATTGGTTCTTGCAGAAGTGCAAACGTGCTGCGTAACACAATAATGGACCTCATTGGTTCTTACAGAAGCTCAAACGTGCTGCGTAACACAATAATGAACCTCATTGGTTCTTGCAGAAGTGCAAACGTGCTGCGTAACACAATAATGGACCTCATTGGTTCTTACAGAAGCTCAAACGTGCTGCGTAACACAATAATGAACCTCATTGGTTCTTTCAGAAGCTCAAACGTGCTGCGTAACACAATAATGAACCTCATTGGTTCTTGCAGAAGTGCAAACGTGCTGCGTAACACAATAATGGACCTCATTGGTTCTTACAGAAGCTCAAACGTGCTGCGTAACACAATAATGAACCTCATTGGTTCTTTCAGAAGCTTAAACGTGCTGCGTAACACAATAATGAACCTCATTGGTTCTTGCAGAAGCTCAAACGTGCTGCGTAACACAATAATGAACCTCATTGGTTCTTGCAGAAGCGCAAACGTGCTGCGTAACACAATAATGGACCTCATTGGTTCTTGAAGAAGTGCAAACGTGCTGTGTAACACAATAATGAACCTCATTGGTTCTTGCAGAAGCTCAAACGTTCTGCGTAACACAATAATGAACCTCATTGGTTCTTGCAGAAGCTCAAACGTGCTGCGTAACACAATAATGAACCTCATTGGTTCTTGCAGAACCTCAAACGTGCTGCTTAACACAATAATGAACCTCATTGGTTCTTGCAGAAGCTCAAACGTGCTGCGTAACACAATAATGAACCTCATTGGTTCTTGCTGAAGCTCAAACGTGCTGCGTAACACAATAATGAACCTCATTGGTTCTTGCAGAAGCTCAAACGTGCTGCGTAACACAATAATGAACCTCATTGGTTCTTGCAGAAGCTCAAATGTGCTGCGTAACACAATAATGAACCTCATTGGTTCTTGCAGAAGCTCAAACGTGCTGCGTAACACAATAATGAACCTCATTGGTTTTTGCAGAAGCTCAAACGTGCTGCGTAACACAATAATGAACCTCATTGGTACTTGCAGAAGCTCAAACGTTCTGCGTAACACAATAATGAACCTCATTGGTTCTTGCAGAAGCTCAAACGTGCTGCGTAACACAATAATGAACCTCATTGGTTCTTGCAGAAGCTCAAACGTGCTGCGTAACACAATAATGAACCTCATTGGTTCTTGCAGAAGCTCAAACGTGCTGCGTAACACAATAATGAACCTCATTGGTTCTTGCAGAAGCTCAAACGTGCTGCGTAACACAATAATGAACCTCATTGGTTCTTGCAGAAGCTCAAACGTGCTGCGTAACACAATAATGAACCTCATTGGTTCTTGCAGAAGCTCAAACGTGCTGCTTAACACAATAATGAACCTCATTGGTTCTTGCAGAAGCTCAAACGTGCTGCGTAACACAATAATGAACCTCAATGGTTCTTGCAGAAGCTCAAACGTGCTGCGTAACACAATAATGAACCTCATTGGTTCTTGCAGAAGCTCAAACGTGCTGCGTAACACAATAATGAACCTCATTGGTTCTTGCAGAAGCTCAAACGTGCTGCGTAACACAATAATGAACCTCATTGGTTCTTGCAGAAGCTCAAACGTGCTGCGTAACACAATAATGGACCTCATTGGTTCTGGCAGAAGCTCAAACGTGCTGCGTAACACAATAATGAACCTCATTGGTACTTGCAGAAGCTCAAACGTGCTGCGTAACACAATAATGAACCTCATTGGTTCTTGCAGAAGCTCAAACGTGCTGCGTAACACAATAATGAACCTCAATGGTTCTTGCAGAAGCTCAAACGTGCTGCGTAACACAATAATGAACCTCAATGGTTCTTGCAGAAGCTCAAACGTGCTGCGTAACACAATAATGAACCTCATTGGTTCTTGCAGAAGCTCAAACGTTCTGCGTAACACAATAATGAACCTCATTGGTTCTTGCAGAAGCTCAAACGTGCTGCGTAACACAATAATGAACCTCATTGGTTCTTGCAGAAGCGCAAACGTGCTGCGTAACACAATAATGAACCTCATTGGTTCTTGCAGAAGCTCAAACGTGCTGCGTAACACAATAATGAACCTCATTGGTTCTTACAGAAGCTCAAACGTGATGCGTAACACAATAATGAACCTCATTGGTTCTTGCAGAAGCTCAAACGTGCTGCGTAACACAGTAATGAACCTCATTGGTTCTTGCAGAAGCTCAAACGTGCTGCGTAACACAATAATGAACCTCATTGGTTCTTGCAGAAGCGCAAACGTGCTGCGTAACACAATAATGGACCTCAGTGGTTCTTGAAGAAGTGCAAACGTGCTGTGTAACACAATAATGAACCTCATTGGTTCTTGCAGAAGCGCAAACG